AAGTAACTACCCCGAGTCCAATAAACTACCAACACTATACCACATATTTTAAAGATTACTTCATACTTATCCCACTCTAGCAGCCATGCGTAACCCCAAGCGAAGTGTCATGCACTCAAGCAGCCATGTGTTAATCATTTCTAGTAACCGTAAGGCACATAACAAATACACCCCTCCCCAACGGTGCTGCCGTCAAGCAGCCAATCCTTCCTCTGCTTGTGCCTTTTTTCTTTTTAGAATAGCAATCATTTTCTTTTTAATCAATAATTTTTACCTCTGATTCTAGATCCTTGTAGTGTGAAAGCAAAGTGGTATCGGTTGCATAAATCATGTGCAGTTTAAAATTCAAGGCGAGGAAGTCATGGGTACTTTCCAACTTGATGGAAACCAGAAATTTTTACTGGAAAGCGGTTCACCCAGTTGCATCATCCTAGAAGATTGGCTGCCAATTAATGCTGGGAGAAAATCATTCTGATTTGCCAATAATTGATTCTTTACTTTGAGTTCCCCTTTTTCAGCCCATGCTAATTGCTTTTCATAAGGAGATGACAAAAAGTGAGCTGACTTATTGGGCTAAAGAGAATTAGAATTTTCCATCTGATGTAAGTCATAAGGGTCTTGCCAACTCAGTCTTCTTTGCTCTCATAGAAATTCACAACACTGCCAAGGGATCTATGTTGTGTGTTTTTTTTGCTCCCTTGATTTCCCTCGCCATTTGTCTTCTCTCCCATCTCCTTCATCTCCTTTTACAGTGCAGATTTTTAGTGAAGTTTGCACCAGAGACGCCACCATCAGCTAATCATGTTTCTTATTTTGGGGTCTAAACAGAGCACGACTGTCAATCCAATTTGCCATTTCCTGGTCTTGGGACTTCCACCAGATCATGCTTCATAAAAGGTCAATCTCAATCTTCTTGGTAAGTTTTGAGAAAGAATCACCCATAACTTCTGGCTCGACACCATGTTGTTACAGTCCTTTTTTAATGATCTTATGGGATTTAGTTGATAGTATGGGCTCGTTAAGAGAGATCCCGACAACTCCTAAAGTTTAAAGTACTCAAGAAACTTTTTTGACAAGTTTTTCTGCATATCCAGTTCCGATACGGTGCTGTTTTTATACAGGAAAAAGTAACTTTTAAGAATAAAACTTTCCCAGTTAGAAGTAACTACCTCACATTCTGACAACCACATAATTAACTAACCCCACATCCTACAACTACTAACATCTATCCTAGGAAACTACTTTTATACTTATCCCGCTCTAGCAGCCATGTGTCTCCCACTCGAGCAGCCATGTGTCAGTCATTGCTAATAGCAATTTTGTACATAACAGATTATGAGCATGAAGCAATACTACATGCACTAATGCAAACAGAAGTTAAAGAAATCAAGCATACCGGTCCACTCTTGCCTCTCGCTTTGTTGACAATTAGCTCGTAGAAACTGTGTTGCTGAACTTCCAAAAACATGGAAAAAGACAAGTATAATTAGCATATCATAATAACAAGCTGCGGTCAAAATCATGATTTCAAAAGTTTCTCACATGAGGAATAATGAGATCTTCTTTCACATAAAGCAAATTCTCCACCGATATTGTCCGAATCTCTCGAAACTCAGGAGCAAGTTGCTGCTGAACAGCCCGAAGAAATTCTCCTATTGTATCACCTTTGCGAACCTGAATGTAAGAATGATTAATAGTTTATACCACAGGAAAAGGAACAAATTAAAGAGCCGTCAATAAAAGGGAACTCTTACTTACCTGGATCACTCTTCTATGGCCTGTTCCATCCCAATAACTATAAGTAATTTCAAGGGGCTCACCTGAGATAGAGGATAACCTGCCTTAGAACTACTTTTAATGCAGTCAGATCAAACCAAAAAAAAAAAATGAAAGACTACATTACTTCGAATCTGTTCCTGCTCCCGAAGCCACTGCTTCTGCAGCCTCTCACGTTCAGCTTGCTCCTCTGCCTCCCGCTCACTGAAAGAGCAACCTCAGCACCCCTAAGCTCTAACGTTAGCACCAAGTACAAAACATGTATGTGCACTGAAAGAGAGAGAAAATGGTGAACATATGCCACACCTGTCAGGTAAAAAGCTCGTTTCTACTGTGGGATCTTTGCCGAATTTACTACGACAGAAGCTCTTAGACTCAGAATTGTCTGCATAAACCAAGTAATGGCATCCGGTGGCATAACAAGATGTCAACAAAAAAAAAAGATTTAGCAAATGTCCCAACATTTTGATGCTTTTTATCTATATTGTGCAGATAACAGAATCATCCATGTGCAACATTTTGGAAAATCCAGGCAGGGAAACACCTGGACTCACTAAGGTGGTAAGAGTGTAAAGTAAATGAATCCAAGGTTATAAGTGAGCACTAAGACGTAATAATTAACACCAAGCATCTTGAACCAGTTAGAGAGACAATTAAACAATATCCATATGCAGTAGTTTGATTGCTAACTATCAATTTTTTCATGTCATCAAGGATCTCCATTCTACGACGGTAAGATACTGGACCATAAAATTTTTCACATAGCCATAAATATGACGACTGTCTAGAGAACGAGGAATCAACCCAAAGAAACAGAAACAAAGGCCAAATAGCAGCAAACAAAAATAAAATAAGGATCTTCCATGAGAATACGTTCATTAACAACAATAGGCAAATGGAATTGCAATTCCAGAAGCTTCTGTACTCATTGCATAACTATTGCACCCACCATTTACATCCTAATCTAGTGAAGAAGCACTATACCATGAATTCAAACCAGATCATTTATTTCACAGATGCGGGAATGCTGCACAAAGCTACTCCGAGTAGCAAAGAAACTACTACCCACCCTATCCAAGGAAACTAACTGCTCCTCCTTTCTAGATCCTGTGAGTGCTAGAGTTGGATCTAAATAAAAGATGACAGAGCCTAAGAACTAAGGGATGGCTTCTAAACTCTGATGCAGCAAAGTTTCATGAAAATAAATATTAAGCACTAAATTTAAAATGTTATAGCAAATTGGCATTCTCTCTTAACAATAGCAAACTTGGTGATCTCCACAACATCCCCAACTCCAATGCAATATATTACATATGATAAATGGATTTTTTTTTTTTTTTGAAATAAAAAGTGTAAACTGTACATTAACAAGGTACCAAAACAGGGGTACCGCCAATGTACAAAAAATTTTCAATAATGTTAGGTATCAACGAGATTCCTAAAATCCACATCACTAATAATGTCATGACCTAACAATATAAATCCAAAATAATGAATTTGTCTATCCTTTAACCTATTAATGCTACTTTCCAGACTATCGAAAGCTCCACTATTCCTTTCTTTCCAAATAACCAAAAAACTGTCAAAGGGATAACATTTGCTAACTTGTTTTTAACATTTAAACCATCCCAAGCCCAAATCTCTCCCCTCACCGACCCTGCAATAACCCAATCAATACCCAAAAGAACGTTATAAAATCAAACAAAGGCTGCAAGTTTTAGTTGAGGGTTTGATGCTCACTGTTTTCTCCATCCTCCTCTTCACTTCCATTGTCCATATCATCAGCAAATGACAATCGGGAATTGCCCTTGGTCTTCCTCTTTTTACGCTTTTGTAACTTAAACTCCTCCTCCCTATTACGCAGCAAACGAATATGAAATACCAAATCAATGACAAGAAGTTTAAAAAAGAAAAAGAAAAAAACTTATAAGACATGAATAACAGAGTTAGACCTAATAGTTACACTTACTCCTGTTGTAACTTCTGCAGTTTCTCCTTCTCCTCCTCCTCAATTTTGTTCCGAATATTAACCCGCTGTAGAAAATATCCAAAACCCGATCCATCAAAAAACTAATTAGCTCTCGTATTTTTAAGTACATAATACACAAAAATACACACTACAACTACGTATATAATAAACTCAATTACCTTCTCAACATATTGTTCTCTTGTAACCAAACCAACAGTTTCCTTCTTAAAAGCAGTCTCGAGAATCTGAAATCCGAAGAAAAATTGACAAGCAATTATTAAGAGATTAACTGATTGATAAAAAAATAAAAATTACTGCACTTCGTCCACCTGAAATAACGCTCTCCATTTTCTCCATATTCAAACCAACCAAACCAAGTTGTAATGAATAACAAAAGAGAATGAAATGACGTGCAGACGTATGTAAAACCCTATAGAATTGTGATTTCCATCCAAATTTTTCTCAGCAGCGAAAAGGAAACTCGAGAAGAGAAAAAGAAAAACACATAAATGAAATTGTAACTAGAAAACATGAGATAAGCATGAACCTCGGAAGTACTTGACCCGAATTGGAGGAGCCCGGTTTGGCCCTTAGCTGAGGAGGACTTGGTCTTGAGCTCTTGAATTTTGCGGCGTTCAGCTTCTCTCTGCTTCTCAAGCCGTCGGATCCTCACGGCGTCCTGAGCCGTGCCCACGTACCCGTCTCCCATACCCGACATCTTTTAGCTTTCTCCTGTTGCCTCTGTTTTCTTTCTTCCCTTGGGTCTCC